TTTGAAACCTAATAACTTAGATAAATAAGAAATTATATTTGAAAACTCCTAGGCACATACATACTAGTTTTAATATTTGGAATGTTGTCTCATTGCTAAGCTTGTAGCAATTTGGCTCCTGTCCCCTCAGTCCCCACACAGATCCTGACACAGTTGTAACTGTAGGAGACAGCACCTGATGTGTCTACCTCTGCACCATGGGTAGTTCCAATACAGTTTTAAATGATTATTTCTTTTAAAACTTTCTTGCAATGAACATTGTGTTGGTAAATTGCTGTGTGCTGTTTTGGTTTGATGAAAGCAGACTCCCAGAACAAGGAAGCTTCCTTAACAGTCTCCAAAACTCCCTGTTCTAGGCAGGCTGGTCCCCTAAGTCTGCAACGAGAAGTAAGGAAAAGCAGCAAACAGCTAAGGCTATTAAAAATGTGTCCTTGAGGATAGCTAGAAGATAAACTATTTCAAAACAAAGTTGTCATTGATTGTTCCATAATATAAAATGTTTGCAGTTGGGCTGGCAGTGGATGCTGTGCCCAGTTTTCTCTCAATTGGGAACTCAGGCTTACTGTCTGGGCTTCCCCAGTCAGTTTCTTCAGAATGGTTGCAAGCACCTTATTTAATCATATCTATCTGCTGGTATTTGTCTTTTTTTAAGGCAGAAGCATCACCTAGGAGCACATTCTGCTCTGCCCAGGACACTCCATTGTGAACTCCAGCAGACAGTTTAAATGGGGCTTCAGAAGTCAATTTCTGCTAGAAGATTGTAAGCCCCAGTCTGGTGATGTTACCTTATGTTTACTCTCAGTTTTGCTACTCCGGAGGTTTCTGGTAGATACTTTGAGTGCCGGTTTTGATGATGTCATATTACTTATCTGCTGCCCCTCTCTATTAATGACAATATTTCATCCTTTATTTTTACTTTGGGTATTCTCAATAAACTTTCCTGTTCAACACTCATATTGTCAACAGTAACATTTTCATGTAACTTAAAATACATCTAAATATTTCTTTCATGTTTATGATTTTTTTATTTTATTATTTTATGTATATTGATTTTTTTTGCCTGCATGTATCTCTGTGTACCACTGTGTGCCTGGTGTTTGAAGATACCAGGGCATCAGGTCCCCTGGAACTGGAGTTGCAGACACACTTGTCAGCCACACTGTGGGCGCTAGGAATGGAGCCTGAATCCTCTGAGGAGCAACAAATAATCTTAACCAATGTCCTGCCTCTATAGCCACTTTATATGTTTCAAACCTGGCTTCAGTTTTGTCTACAGAATTTATAATCAGCTTTGTGGAATATTAAATGCTTACTGGTTCAACTACTGCTGAGTTTTCTCTGGAAGAATGGATGAATCCTGAACACAAGCCTATCCTAAAGTTTGTATGTCTGGCATTCAGTCCAGATCTTGGGAAGAGTGGGTGGTTCATTTAATATTTGAGGAAAAAACTGGACATGTATGAGGTATTAATGTGTTTTTGACTTATAATGCATAGGAGACACTGGCTTCAAAATTGCTATAGAAAGTAAAAACTATTTCAGTTTTTAGAGACTACAGGACCAGAGAGGAAGTAGCAGGGACTGAAATTCATGCAACCGGAAGCAGTAAGCTGAGGCTCTAGTCCTAGTGGCTTGACTGCAAAGCACGCTATGGCCGTCAGTTGGCCATTTCTGCCTCTCACAACAGCCTCCGGAATGGTCACAATCTCTGCAGATGGAACGGTTCAGCATCCCCTACATGCTTTGCTAGGCTAGAGTATTAGAAGAGAGTTTCCCCCGTGTGATTAACTACCCTACAAAGCATCTGTCCCTAGTGAGATCTTATCCACATTCAGTTCCAGTACTTGTCTCATTATTGTTGCAAAACTTCTGACAGGAACAAGCAAGAATTAGAAAGGTGTCTATTTTAGCTACTTTTGTGTTGCTATGATAGAATACCTGACAAAAGTAACCCAAGGAGGAAAGGGTTAATTTGGCTCACCATTTCAGATGGATGAAATCCATCGTGGCGAGCAAGGATTGTGAAGCTGTCCTAGTAGCCAGTAAACAGGGAGATTCCATCTCGTCTCCACACAGAAAGCAGAAAAAGAAAAGGAAATTGTCCCAGGCTATAAAACATCAAAGCCTATGCCCTTGTTCCCTTTGGGAGTAAGGCTCTAGATCCCAAGGGCTCCATACTTTTACCAACAATAGCCACTAGTGAGGCACTGAGTGGTCAGATGGCATGTACCTATGGGGGACATTTCTTATCCAAGTCATCACACTTTGTATTCTTGGACAGATGATGCTAACCTTGTCAAAAAATAATCTTGGCTGTGTCTGGCTAATTTGTCTCTAACAATAGGTACTAAACTGAATTTGACCTATAGGTTAGAACCGACTGACCTATTTTGTGTCATAGACTTCCTTTGTGGGTAACAATAGTCTGTGAAATCCTTCCAAGAAGGATTAAACCGAAGTTGGTATAAAGTTTTTGAAGTCAACATTGTAGCAAACACCCTGAAGGTCTGGAGTACTCTGGTGCTTGGATATGAAAAGAGAACAGAGACAAGTTCTGACCCACTCTGCTGGGCACCCAGCTGTGCTTGCTGATGGCTACCTCCTTGGCCAGGGAGACCCCAGACAGCTGTGAGACACCGCTATGAATTTTCAGCAAGGGCAATCTTGCACTTAGCTAGTACTGTGTCTTACCCTCCTATACAGCATGTGAATGGTAAGCTTCTAAATATCCAAGAGCTGAAACAGCCCGTGTTGTTTGTTGGTGATTTTCTCCTTCATTTGAATTTTCTCCAGAGCCTCTGAGTTCTAGTTAAGATCTGGATCCTGTAATAACTTCCTACTGGTTCCCCCCTTGGATCCCAGCTGTTTCTAAATGGCAGGGTCCAAAACAGTACAAAGCATTCTAAGGCCAGGGATTGGTCTCTCATGGTGTTTATTTATGGTATCTGTTCTCTTTTTCAGCTCTATCTCATTAACTTGCTGACTATGTCTTAGAACGACCTTTATTTTCATTATTATTTTGTCATTGATACCAGACTAGAGACTGCTATTTGTAGTCCATTGTGCGCATGTGCAGAGGCCCAAGACTGATATTGAGACTCATCCATGGTATTTCTTCCATCTTCATTGAGGCATTATCTGTTTATCAAACCTATACATATTCTATGTGGTAATTCTCAGAGGTCGGCTTGCTCTGGGATTCCCATTTCTGCCTTCAGAAGCTAGAGTTACAAGCAGGACATCATATCCTCAGGACATTTGCATGGGTTCTGAACATAAACTACTGTCCCTGCACTTTTTAGCAGAAGCTTCACCCACTAAGCCATTGCCCCAGCCTGACAATTTATGATAAAAAGAATTGTAACAAATCATTGAATAAGACATTCAGACATACTTTTGCAATCAGCTAATGTGGCAAGAAGGCAGCCAACTCCACAGTCTGTGGTGTGTTAGACTGACTTTGATTCAGTCTTCTCACCCGTCAGGAGGACAAAACAAATTGCATATCAGGCTCAATGTTGTTTCTTATGCTAAGAAGGGAATGTTTGGAGACATTGGATTAAATGTCACATTGGATGACGAGTCCTTTCACCTGCCACTCTGCTGTGGTCTCCTATTAAAGCTATCTTGCTCAGTCTGCATGTCATCACACAAACTGTCCCTTCCCAACTCCACACACCAGGGTGTTCCTCCTTCCATGATGTCTTCTCTGGTCCTGTCACTACAACTTCTCTCCAGCTAATCTGATGGATACTTGATTGACCTCTGATCAAACAGGCCATTTGTAATAGTATTTCATGGTATAGCAAATAAAAATGGACTTCAAATGTTAGGATTTATATGTTAGAGTTCCTTTATGTTTATAAACTTTAGAAACAATTTTCCCTTTTTCTTTTCACTAACTTCTTGAACCCTAAAAAGTAGTAGTACTCACCTGTCTGGCATATAACAAATACTTCTGAAACACAGACTTCCATTCTTCTCATGCTGTTGTTTAATTTTTTTTCGTTTCTCATTTGGCTGTGTGTGGTGTGTGAATGTGTGCATAGATATGTTTTAAATGTGTGTGTGTGGAAACATATTTTTGGGAACATATGTATATTCAAGATCATACAGATATCCACAATCATCCTCAACAGGTTTCCTACCATTTTCTCCAAGGCTGGGTCTCTGAATAAAACTCAGAGCTCTCTGATATGCCTAGTTAACCCATTTGATCTGGGAATTCCCTGTCTCTACCTTCTGGGACTGGTGTTACAGGTGGGATGCTAAATCCATTTGGCATTTGCATGTGTTCTAGGGGTCCAAACTTTGATCCTCTTATCTGTGAAAGAAGTTTTTTTTATCTATGGTGCTACCTCCTCAAATCAACAGTTGACTGAAGTTTGTTCCTCAGGTATACCAATCTGCTCAAAGAAAAAATATTCTGGTTTATCGTGACTATATTGGGCTTTGATGTCTGTAGTAGATTTCCAAATCATTTTTGGGTAATGAATAAATATTAAGATATATAACTACTTCATCAGAAGAGAAACAAAACAAAATGCTTGGGTATAGTTGCTTCACGTATACATGGATTTAAGCTTAAAACATATGAAGGTTTGTAGATTGATGTTCCTACAAAATGTTTTAGATTGACAGTGCTATGAACTGTTGAGATCTCTGACTGACTTCTTGCCCTGGAATTTGCCTTTATCTTCAGAGCTTAGCTCTTCCCCACTCTGGGCTAAACCCTGCTGGCATCTATTCTACAAAAGAAAATGAATGCTTAGTCCTAAATAAATGAGAAACTGTGGCTGGATTCCCCCTCCTCCGCACACACACACACACACACACACACACACACACACACACACACACACACACACGCACACACACACACACGACATTTTTTTCCATGTTTGACTTCAGGCTCCTTCCTTGAAGTGGGAGAGACATCTTCACAGTGAATGTTTTACATTTATATTGGCTGCTGCTGACATGTGTCTTAATTCACAGGGACATGATGCTGTGGTTATGAAGCTGACATCTGAAGAAATGGTGTGAAATGGGAAACCTGACAGCCTCTGCCTGCTCCCCTGCCCTGTGAATGATAATGATTTCATAGTGGAGACAGATATGGACATCCTTTCCTTGTCAAATGCAGGCATAAATATGCCCACAGGTATGTTAGTATATTTCCCATTTTTTCTCTAAGCTTTAAATAATGTAGCTATTTCCAGTGCTATCGTAATATCCTTAGAAGGTGGGATGACAGGAAAGAGCCAAAGTTTATTCTCTCCTAGATTTAGAAATAATTGCACAAAGAAACCTCTGGAGCTGAAGCAGCAGTGGCAGACACGAACTGTCATCCGTGGCTGGAGGAATGTTCGTTTCTCTGTTTCATTTCTGTCTTCCCCTCATTTTCATTGATGTCGTCTTTCTTTTGTCTCTGCTCCCTCCCTTTTCTCTTCCACATCCTTTTGCTTTCCTTCTTAATCCCTTTTCTATCTTCTGTATATCTTCCATGTTTTCTTCTCTCTCCTTTTCTCTTCCTTCTTCTGTTTCTGGCCCTCCTATTTCTAGTTTTTCTTTTGATTTAATAATCTGTCCTGAGTAGGAAAGAAGCCATGTATCACCCTTTGTCTTTTCAGTGAATTTGCATGTCTAGAGATTTTACACCCGAGTTTCAGCATCTTGTTGAGACCACTTGACAATTCTAGTTGACTCAGCCTTCCCTTTCCTTCCATGCTCATATTGTGCCCCATTAGAATGACAAAGTAGATTTCTGTCTTCCAGAGTGTAACCATCCCATTGAACTTCACCGTGTTTCATTCTTCACTTTGTATTACAGCTTTACAACTCATAAATAAACTCCACAAGCAAAGTTAAAACCCAGGAAATAAATATGTAGCATGTCCAACATAAATTCCCATCTCCTAAGGAGGACAATATTTATTGACATATGCACTTTCCATAGTGTAGTTTCATTTTTGTTTATGGGCATAATTGTAGTTTCTTACACCGATTTGTCAACATAGATTTACCATATTTGCCTTAGTTAATATGCAGTAACTGTGCATTTTATGTAGAAGGGCAGTATTGTAGAGAAATTGGCATTGTACTTAGAAGCTATCTGCCTAGAGTTAATGGATGGCCAGAAGCAGCAGCAATAGCATCAGGTTATATATTGCTAGTGAATATAGTCAGGTTGTTTATTATCAGCGAAGGCTGTCAGAACGCCAGTAAGTTGTGGGTTGATAAGTTGTGCTGACTGCAAATGACAACAGGATGAATTTGAACATGAGCTCCAGACTGCCACAGTGATTTAAGTTCACATGCCAGCCCCTACTTCCTAGCTGTTTTAATTCTCCTTGGGCTTCTATTTCTCCAAATGTAAGAATATGCAAAACAATAAAACAAAGCCTTTCCTAAGAAAAAGAATTAAGAAAGTGACATTTTACATATGTGATATATTTCAGTTGTATTTGTGTCATTATTAAACATGGCTATGAATGCAGTACTTATAACTAGACTTCCTCTGCTCTCCCCGGGTTTCCTTTGGTGTCGGGGATTTTTGTTCTTAACTGAAGACTAGAATAAGTATTTTTTTTCTTGTTTGCTTGTTCATTTTGTTTTGTTTGTGAGACAGGGTCTCATTAGATATCCCTGGCTGCCCTGGAAATCACTTTATAGACCCTGAATTCCCAGGAATCTGTCTGTCTCTGTTTCTTGAGTGCTAGGGTTAAAAGTACTTGCTACCATTCTTCATTGGAACAGTTGCATTTTTTTAATCACTAAGAAAAACACAGTGCAATCCTGGCGAGTAGGTCATGGAGACAATTATTTTGCTGTCCCCATGTTACATGAAATTATTTTAGGATGTTTACTCACCCTTCACTCAGGCATACAGGCAGTCATGTATCCACCCATCCATCCATCCACCCATCCATCCATCCATCCATCAATCCACCCATCCACCCACCCACCCATCCATCCACCCATCCACTCATCCATCTCTTTATTCAGTTTATTGGTTTTCGATGAGATCCACTTGCCAAACCTCATGTTCATCAGAGAGATCTCCTCAAGGTTAAAGGTATATCTGTTAGGACAATCAGAACTTTCTGTTGTCTTTATTAGTCTTCTGAGAATGCAGAGAACTGTTGACGAAGGAGACGGCCTGCATCATAACTAATGAGATGGGCATGTTTATGTTGGTGGAGATAGGTGGCATGTCCTGCCTTCCCCAGAAGGAGCACGCTATGGACTAACTTGCTCAGAAGGAGGACATGCCTTGATGGTGCCTAGGCACATAGTTACAAACCGAATTTAAGATGGCAGAAGTATTCAGGACATAGACATTAACATTTCCTACATATAACAATAGCATTTACCAATATTGCTTTGTTTGTTAAAGCAATCCATATGAAGGATGCTGGGGAAAGGTCTGCTGCAGAACTGTAGAATCATGAACGTTTTTTGACTGTGGCTTTATGGTTTATAAATCTGTAATTCCTTCCTCTCTTCTGTCTTCCTTCTTTATTTTGAGGGCACATGCATACTTCATCTCAAGGAGAACCCAAGATCAGAACATCCTGCTATAAAAGCCCCTGTTATTGTACACCTCTTCTTTGGCAGACAGAATTGAGCTCTTGGTATACCTAGATGTCTTGGGGTAAGTGTTGCAGTACTTTTTTTCAGAGAAGTCAGAAGAGGTGTGTGACTTTCTACCCTGCTTAAGAACAAACAGAAGAGGAAATTATCAAAGACAGATAAATGGCTGCCTGTGTTAGAGCCAAAGAAAAGGGTTTTGTTACTTCTTTTCTTTTCTGAGAATAAACTTACTATTTTCCACCTCCCTTTCCGTCCTCCAAATCCTCCCATATATATTGCTCCTTGCTCTCTTCTGTGGCCTTTTAAAATGAATTGTTTTTACATACATATATGTACATATACATGTATATACAAACATATACCATACAACCCACTCAGTCTGTATTATGTTATTTGTTTGTATGGTTTCCGGGCTGACCATTTGGTATTGGGTAACCAATTGGTGTGCTTTTCCCTGGGGAGGACCATTTATCACACTCTCAGCATTCCTTAGTTGCTGTAGTTCTTTGTGTGGATTGAGGGTTCCTGGGTTCCCTGGCAACCCCAGTCCACTTCAGCATGTCTGGTGTTGTCCTTGAGCAGAAGAAAGTTTTGTGGTAAGAGAACATTCACTTTCATGCCCTGGGTTTGTTCCAAGACCAGAAGATTTCTGATTAGACAGGAGGTTATGCAAGTAATTAGAGAGGGCCACTGACTGAAGGCAGACCCCTGCTGTGGAAGAAGTCATCTCTGAATGACAGTTCAGGCCTGGAAGCAGCTTAAGGGGGCTTCCCATGAGAACAAAGTGGAGGACAGGGACGGGGGAGGGTAGGAGATGTAAATGGTATTTCTTTTAAAGCTGTCACAAGAATAGAAGTAACAGCCTTAGGCATGCAATCTCAGTTTTTCAGGCAATAACTATGAGAAGGAAGGAGCTGAGGAAAAGAGGAGGGTGGGAAGCTAAGAATTATGACACACTTAAGATCACTGGTGAGTGGTATATCTCACAACGAAAGGTCTGTGTGAGACTGTGGAACACTGAGACATAATGTGGCCAATGCTTTATATGTCAGAGGAAGCAGCACTTCTGTTTATAAATTCCTGAACTTTTATGTGTACTATACAGTCTAACCACAAAGTTAATGAAGAGTAAACTGGCAGTGTTTGGTACATTATGTTCACTGAAGGTATGTCAGGTGCTGTCTGGAAAATGTATCTCCTGCCAACTTGACACACGCTAGAGTCACCTGAGAGGATAGCTTCAGTTGAAGAATTGTGCAGTCAGATTGGTCTGATCGCCTTGATTCAGAAGGACCTATCCCAATTTAGGCAGCACCATTCATTGACAGGGATGGTCCTGTGCTGCAGACCGAAGCTAGCTGACTGTAAGCTGCAAGCTAGCTTGCAAGCAGCAGCCTCCATGGTTCCTGGTGTACTTACTTGCAAGCAGCAGCCTCCATGGTTCCTGGTGTACTTACTTGCAAGCAGCAGCCTCCATGGTTCCTGGTGTACTTACTTGCAAGCAGCAGCCTCCATGGTTCCTGGTGTACTTACTTGCAAGCAGCAGCCTCCATGGTTCCTGGTGTACTTACTTGGCTTTGAAGTGAGTTCCTGTGTGGAATAGCAGCCATGCCTTCCTTCAACTTCATGCTCTGGACTTCTTTGAATGATACAATATGAACTGGAATTTTTATTTTCCTTCCTTAAATCATTTTTGGTCCCAATGTTTGTCAAAGCAACTAGAACACTAGAACACTCCTAGTTTAAGATACATCAGAAATAGTTAAATCTTGATTTCATCTGCTCAGAGAATGGTCCATGTTCTGCCTGCAGCTGGTCTATACGGACCGTGAATGAGAATCCAAGAAAAGTTAATGGTTGCCATGTGCCCATATAGTTCTTTAAGAAGAACCCACAGCTACAGATTCTGACAACCAATTCATTAATTCCTTATCCCATGGAGTTCCAAACGGTTTACAAAACTCCAATGCTTGTTCCTAGGGCTTAGAACCCAGGCAAGTTTATGACATGTGACTCTGTGATTTTATTTTCTATTTTCTAAAGCTTTTCTCTTTCCTTTTATTTATTCTTCTTTCATACAAAACATCCTGACCACAGGCTTATCTCCCTTCTCTCCTCCTAGACCACATCTCCTCTCTTTGATTGCCACTGTTCCTCTGTTTTTCTTCAGAAAAGGGCAGACATCCCAGTGAGACCAACTGAAAACTATGTAACACGGTTCAGTAACACTAGGCACAAACCCTCATATCAAGGCTAGATGAGGCAATCCAATAGGAAGCAAACGGTTTCTCAAGCAGGCAAAAGCTGTCTGAGATGACAGCCCCACTCCTCCTGTGCGAAGTCCTCCTGTGAGGAGTCCTCCTGTGCGGAGTCCTCCTGTGAGCAGTCCTCTCATGAGGAGTCCGGCTGCACGGAGTCATCTGCCAGCTTTTCCAATGCTGTTAAAAGTGAACATAGTCTTTGCCTGAAAGTTCAGCGTATTAATATGAGGATCAAGCAAAATAAAAGTCCTTCCAACTTTGCAGGAAAGGGATACTCAGTGAGGCTAGCAGTATCTGCTCATTCCACTCTGTCCTTCCAGAATGAGCTAAATATCTCCTTGAGGGAGGATATTGTGCAGCACACTTTTCTCGGCTTCATCCGTTCTGTAATCATCACGAGTTTTCTGAGCTGTGTGAGTATTCTACTTCCCTCCTAGAAGAGGCATTTCATTCTGGAGGAAATAGCTCCCCAGCAGAACTTGCACATCATAACAGAGAGGACTGCATGCACATCATATCAGAGAGGACTGCAGCAAGGGTCAGAGCAGGAAAGTCCCAGGGAAAACACAGCCCTCAGCAGTGTGAAGTGCATGATAGAAAGTCAGTGTTGGCCACAGATATGATTGGTATGTGTGGTGAGCAGGAACAAGCGGGAGGATGGTAACTCTAAACCATTCATTTCACAAAACTCGTAGTTGATTTCTAGGTAATTGCTGAAGGAAACAAGCAATCAAAAGATTTCTATGTGCTGCTTTGGAAGCAATGCAAGCTGATGACACAAAGTTATATTCAATGAGAATGTCATCTGTTAGCAATTTATCATTATTTATTATTATATAAATATATATTGTGTCTTAGAGATAGGGTTTCTCTGTGTAGCCTTGGCTGTCCTAAAACTCACTTTGTAGACCAGGCTGAACTTGAACTCACTGAGATCTGCCTGCCTCTGCCTTCCAAGTGCTAGAATTAAAAGCATTAACTACCAATGCCTGGCTGTTACCAGTTTTTAAAAAGGAACTTATATAAATTTGAGGTATATTTATGTAATTAAGACCATGATGAAAAGTAATTCATGGGAGGAAATGTTTTATTTGGATTGCACATCTTGAATCACAGTCCACTGAGGAAAGCAAAGGCAGGAATAGGAATTCAAGACAGAAACCTGGAGGATTTTGTGCAAGGTACAAGGTATGGTTCTAGTTTCATTGTTTTACATGTATGCCCAGCAATGTTTGTTGATGATACTGTCCTATTTTCAGAATACATTTTTGACCTCTTTGTCAAAAGTTAAGTGAACACAGGACCATGGGCTTAGGAATGGTCGCCCTACAAGCAGCCATCTATAGGTTCAGTACAATCCTCATCAAAACCACAAAGATTGTTTTTGCAAAATCAAAATAATAATGTTAAAATTCATATGGCAATCTAACAGATCCAAGATAGGCAAAACAGTCACAAACAATGAAAACACTACTAAGGGCATCACTTTCTCTGATTTCAAAGTATACTACAGATCCATAGTAATACAAAGAGGACGTTACTGGCACAAAAACAGACATACTGATCAATGGAATTCAATAGGGGACCCAGATTGTTACTATTTCCTTTAACCTAAACTATCCTATAGATTAGTATAGAAGTGTTCCCATCTTACTTGGAAAGGTAGGATAATATAAACAGCAAAACTTGATAATGAAGCTATAGTCTAAAGAATGAAATATGTAATACATAAAAGCACAAAATGTAACACGAAAATTAAAAACGCAGAGACAGATATTGAGATTCAAGATTCAAGCTGAAGACCAGAGAAGCAAAACAGTCAAGCCAGTAGATCTTACCTCTACCACGCTGAAATGGCAATCCTGTCTCCACAAGTCCTCAGAGGCAAAAGCTCTCAGTTCCTGTCTCTTCTTGCCTTTTATCCTTTTCTTCACCCAGCCGTATCACTCCTGTCTCCACCTCCCTAGCTCTGGGATTAGTCATGTGATCCCAGGTGATGAGATCACCTTTGTGGGAGCTGTTTCTTTGAAAACTTAATCAATTTGGTGTAGTTAATGTAGCCTTGAACTAACAGAGATACATCTACCTCTTAACCCTGAGTCCTGGGATTAAAGATGTGTGCCACCACTGCTCAGCTTCTATAGAAAACCAGTATGGCTGCTGAGATTAAAGGTGTACATCACCACTGCCTGACCACTATAGCTTGTGTCTGGCTTTGATTTCTGTACCCTCAGGCAAGCTTTAATGAAATATAAATAACGTAGCACCACAATAAAGTCTAATTTTAAATTGAATAGGACATTAGTAAAGATAATTTCATGATTTATCAAAAATTATAACAGCATGGTTAAATACTGTTATTGTAAGAAAATGATTATCAATGTTGTAAGTTAGTATATCATATTAAATATGTTTATATCAATCTGTTTCTATAGAAACATATTTACATTACTCAGCAGTCATTTTATTATAAAATTTTAAGTTATGGAAGAAACCATATGGAATAAAAAGCTGTTGGTTTCAAAGAAACAAGAGACTGGAGAGATGGCTCAATGCTTAATAATGTGTCTTGTTCCTGCTGAATTCAGTGCCTAGCACTCAAGTCTTGTGGCACATAACTGCCAGTAATCTCAGCTTCAGGAGACCAAATGTTTTTTTCTGGTCGTCTTGGATATCATCATTATCTTCACACTCATACACCCACCCACACACACACACACACACACACACACACACACACACACACACACACACACAAATAAATAGAAATACTTTTTTGAAAATAACAAGTATCTTAAAT